CAGGCGCGGTTTTATGGGGGGGGGGCGAAGGGGCGATCGCCCCCCCCGTCGGCCCAAATCGCCCCCTGGGGTGGGTAGGCAATTTGTCCTACAAAACCCCTGAAAGTAGGCAACCCACAGCAAATCGCCCCCTCCGTCAGTCGGACTTAAAACCGCGCCTGTCACCCATGCATCGGCTCAATAATGCATTTGCTTTACAGTCTCCCTGCCGCTGTAACGAGAAATATGAGTGTCGAGCTGGTACTGGATGCACTCAAAAAACAAAATGAGCGAGCGTCGCCAGGTTCCCCAGCCACCTTTGCGGAAATGGTCACTATACTGCGAGACCCCAACCACGCGGGCATCGACCTGACCTTGGACAGAGAGGAGGACTTTTTCCGCGGGGTTGTGGGGCAAGAGCCGCACAGGAGTGCCATATTTTGTTCTGACAGAATGCTCAAATTTCATAAGAAGTGCAACAGGGACCAGCATTTCGTCACAAATGTTGACTCGACATTCTTTTCCACCCCAAGCGAGCCGGAGGGCCTCGCACAGGTCCACCGCATCGGGGGGTTGTATTTGGGAGAGGTAGGTATTTTCACCGTCTTGTTGTCTGGTTGTAGCGGACCGGATGCAGGCGTACGGTCAAGTTGCATACTACGCGTGTTGCGTTCACCATTTTATTTTGTTTCATCCTTATGACTGAATCTGGTTTAAGTAGTTTTTGTCACAATATTGACTGTCTTAATCATTTTTCAGTTCTACATGATTGTCACGGCGTTAATGGAGTCCAAGTCAGGGGAGGCGTACACCGCATTGTACGAAGAGTTGCGCTCCCTTGGCTTGGAGCTCAGAAAAGTCGCACTCGACATGGAAGACTCACAACGCCAGGCCATAGCTCATGTGTATCGGGAAGAGCGAGCAGCCCTGTTGCTTTTTCTCTTGATCTGTTACTTCCATGTTTGCAAGGTACTGTGAACCAGATGCGTGTCTTTACTCGCCCTTTCTGAGACAGACCTCCTCGCGCCTCCTCGCTACAGCTCATGATAACTCGTTTCTTTCAGGCGCTAATAACGTACGCCCAGTCAAAATGTGGCTTAAAAGTTTTAATGGAAACAGATCAGGACATAATGGTGATGGTAAAGTCGGTGATGGCCGTTCCCCGCCTCCCGGCAGGGGACATGGACCGTGCTGTGAAGGACACAATCCAACCAGAGCTTGAAGCCGCGGGGAAATACAACGCGGACACCAAGAAGTTCCTCGACCACTTCAGGGGACATTACGTGGCGCGGCTCGGCCCTGAATTGTCGGTGTTTGGCAGGGACAACTTCACCACCAGTCCCCTGGAGGGAACACACAGGGCCTTCAACCAAGAAATGAAAAACAAACACCCTTCATTCAGCCATTTCCTGCGTAAGATTTTTTCCATTTTTCTGTCATATAAAGCGTGCAGCAAAAGTAAGGATTGTATAGTGTCAAAAGTAGCAAAATATATAAGTGAATGCCTTTAATTTCGGTTCGTCGAAACTGCTACACTTTAATGTGCCCGGCACCTTCCAAACCAGGCGCTCAGGATAGGCCACCATTTCCACATATGTACTAAGCTGGCTGGCCTACCCGACGCGCCTGCAGGCGCTATCGCCTCTAAAACTTTCCGTGCAAAGTTTTGTTATTGAACGAAATCACATAAATTCAAAATAATTTTGAGACCACAACCATATTGCTAATTAAATTTATCTTTTGAGACATGCTGTACTGTACCGTGTAAAACGTCGTGGTTCAACGAAATAAAATGTTACGAATTCTTCGTAAGAAATAAATAACGAAAAATTTTCTACAAATTTCACAATCTTTAATTAGATGATCTTTAGATTTTGCAAAGAATTCGTAGAATAACGATGCTTCGTATTTTGTTGAAAACAAAGTTTACGTGATAGAAAATTAACCAAGAAAATTTTGTAAAATCACGATAACTTTAGTAACAGTTTAGTGCTAGATAACAAGTCTTATATCTTTCTCCAGTACATTACGAGTGTAACTGATTTTACAGTAACGATACGCAATGAGGAGAAGGCCATGTTCGACCGGACGGAACAGGATATAATCCCCCGAAAAAGGGCCACCCTCATGAGGACTCTTACAAGAAAAGCCCGCACGAAGCATGAAGAGGAGATGGCATACCGTGGTGGTAGGCAGTCTATCAGAGCGTTCTTGGACCAGTACATCAGGCCACGCTCCTTCGTGCGCAGTGTTATGCTCCTGCTCGAGTAAGTGTCATGATGGAGTTCAATTTGTTTTCCCCATGTAAATCATACGGGGTGACCCACAGACCCCAGAGCACACTGCAATGCACCGCATATGAGGCGTGTGGACGCGGGTTGCATATTCACCGTGGTGCGAGACGGTAGGCAAAGTCCGCCCGCACGGTTGCATGCGCAACTGTCTAACTACGAAATATTCTGGGGTCTGTTGGTCACCCTCTACTTGTATGACCTACATTGATTTATTTTTTACAGCGAATACCCCGAGTATGACGAGCCCGCACAACAGTATGAAGAGCATGTGCCTGGGGCACCACTGTCCCCCTTGCCTCCTCTGCCAGGAGAAGAAGAGGAACAAGTCGACGACCCTGGCTCCCCAGTCATGCAAGAAGGTGCAGCAGAGGATCGGCAACTGTTACCTTTGTCACCCTTGCCTCCTCTGCCAGGAGAGGGAGAGGAACAAGTCGACGGCACTGGCTCCCCAGTCTTGCAAGACGGTGCAGCAGAGGATGGGCAACTGTCACCTTTGTCACCCTTGCCTCCTCTCCCACAGGATTTGGTACGTTACGGAAGACTGACTGAGACTCAAAAAGACTTTGGCTCATAAACCTCTAATGTAAGAAAATTAATTTAATCCATTCCGTTGCTCTAATTCCAGGTGGTTACTTCTCCTCGCCGGTCGCAATCGTTACCGAGCCCCCCCGAAGTGGAGTTCACTACTCCAGAGGAACGGGTACTTGCTAACGACAGTACTCACATTTATGACGTAGATACAGATGTGGATGAATGGGTAAGAAAATTGTTTCTAATGAAAGCTAAAATTTACTTCGGTTAAGTCTCTGTTCTTTTCTGCAACATCAATCTTACCTCCCCTTTGTTGGTTATCAGGATTATCGTGAAATTAACGAACAGTTTCTCAGAATGAGGCCCTGGGAAGAACAGGAAGACGACAACGAAGCAGAGGCACAGGAACCAGTGGGAGTAGAGGTTGTAGAAGCTGTCGCGTTCGAAAAGAGACAAGAGACTAGCTGTGACGATATGGTAAGAAAACCGTCTAAAAGTAGCGCATTTTAAAAAACAACAACATTAACTCTGTCCTTTTCTGCAAACATCAATCTTACGCCGTTGCAGGAGCCACTATGGACGCGGAGACCCGTCTTCTTGCGAGGCTCGGCGGCCCTGACCAGCCCAGCCCCCACCCCGGCGCAGGAGCTACCACCGGCGCGTGTCCTGCC